AGAGAGCATATCAAGTGAGAGAGAATTTATTATGAGAGATGAGAGAGTTAAAATATAACCCTTAGATTAATCAAGTGAGAGGAAATTAATTTAAGGGTTATATTTTAACCCTCTCATCTCTTATAATAAATTCTCTCTCACTTGATATGCTCCATATATATATATATATATATATATGAGGGTTCAAACAACAACGGTGTAACTTTTACTAAGTGTTACACCGCTCAATAACTTTATATTAAATGTGAATTTTGAAAATTCAACCGTTAGATTGAAAGTTCATATGTCTTGGATCATATATATCAAATTTTATATTAATCTAAGATGATTCGATACTTCATTCTCATAAAACAAAATTGACGTAATATATACATTTCAAAATATACTAAAATATGAACACTTTGATTACCTTCAAGTTGTTATTCAATTTTAACAAAATTTGATATATATGATCTAAGAGATATGAACTTTCAATCTAACGGTTGAATTTTCAAAATTCACATTTAATATAAAGTTATTGAGCAGTGTAACACTTAATAAAAGTTACACCGGTGTCGTTTGAACTCTCCTCATATATATATAAAGAGGGAGAGAGAGAGATTTACTTACTCCAAGTGTAAGTCTATTTAGACTTGCTCCACTTAATAATTTGTATTCTACATCAAATTTTAACAATTCAACTATTAAATTAAAAGTTTTAAATGCATAGATCAAGTATGCAATTTTTTTAAAAATTTGAAAACTATTTGATACTTCACTTTATTAATTCAAATTGATGAATAACAATAAAAACATTTTAAATTAATGAAACAGAGTATCAAATAGTTTTCAAATTTCTAAAATTTTGTAAACTTAATTTATGTATTAAGAACTTTAAATTGAGTGGTTGGATCATTGATTATATATATATATATATATATATATATATATATAGAAAGATAGAAAGATAAAGAGAGAGAGAGACAGAAAGAAAGAAAGTAAGGAAAGATCTGTTTACTCTAAAAGTAAGTCTACTTAGACTTACTTTACTCAATAACTCATGTTCTACATCAAATTTCAATGATCCAACTACTAAGTTTAAAGTTCGTAATGCATAAATCAAGTTTATAAATTTAAAAAAAAATTGAAAATCATTTTATTATACTTTGTTTCGTTAAATTAAATTAACTGATAATCATAAAAGCATTTTATATGTTGATTTGAATTATTGAAATGAAGTATCAAATAATTTTTAAAAAAATTTTAATTTTGTAAAATTGACCTATGCATTAAGAACTTTTAAATTAAGGGTTGAATTGTTGAAATTTGACGTAGAACATGAGTTATTGAATGGAGTAAGTCTATCAAGACTTACTTACGATCCACACAACTTTTAAATTCAAAACTCATTCTACACAATGAAGTTGTCTATTCTAGGTTGCCTCAAAAAATTTGGTTAATTATTTTTAATGCATAGATCAAGTTTGCAAAATTTTAAAGAATCTGAAAATTATTTGATACTCCATTTCATTAATTCAAATTAACATATAAAATACTTTAATAATTATCCATCAATTTGAATTAATAAAAAAGTGTATTAAATAGTTTTCAAATATTTTAAAACTTTGCATATTTAATTTATGGATTAAGAATTTTTAATTCAATGGTTAGATTGTTGAAATTTGATGTAGATAATAAAAATGCTTGTTCTCGAATTTAGGTTTTTTTTCTTCTTCTAAAAGTTATTATTATTATTATTATTATTATTATTATTATTATTATTATTATTATTATTACCTCGTACTCTAACATACGTTTTTAAACATTCTTTTATTATTAATATAAATTTATTAAAAATCATACAAAATTACAAAATTTATATATTATCCATGATTTTATAATTTTTAATAAATTTTAATTAATAATATAAATATATTAGAAGAAGTATCTTTAAAGAATGTTATGTTCTCTATTCCTTTTTGATATTATTAATAATTATAAAAATGTCATCTTATTTTCAATTTGTTTCTATGTTCTCCCTCGTTTTGATCATGAATAAGTAACACTACTATTTATCTCTTGTTTCCGATATGTTACATAACAACTTAGCAAGGTTATTCTACTTTTCCATACCGTAATGTTTCAACTCTCAAGACTATATAAAATTCTCTAATTTCTAAAACTAATAAATGATGAATTACAGTCTCATCCGATGCTCGCATCAGAGGAGAGGTCAAGATTGTGTAGATGTCTTAATTTCAACAAACTCAGCTTTGAAGTTTGTAAAGATCTTGCAAAGAACCCCAAAATACCTCCAACTATTTCAATGCAAGCTCTTATTTCTCAACAAACGAACATTCCATCAAGTGATGAAAGTGAAATCGTGAACCCTTCCCAAATCATTTTGTACTATGACAAGACTGATAGCTTCTTGGAAGAGAAAGAAGATATGAGACAAAAACTTGAGAGAATGGAATGGCGAGTAAAGGAATTGGAGATATTGTGCAAGGAAATGAAGGTTCATATGTCAAGGTTTCACTAACCATAATGTCTTAATCTTTTTATGCAAGCCTTGTTTTTTTTCTATATATATAGAAAATATATATAAGCTTTTCTTTAGCGGTCTCTCAATATCCTAGCTACATTGATATTTCTTTCAATTGTAAAAAGTTGTATTAATTCTTTTGTTTTGAGTATCAATGGCATATGATAAAAATTAAGATTTCTTCAATGTTAGAGTTACGAATGACTTGAATGTCATCTTCATATTTAGTAAATAGTTATAATTTATTTATTGAATTGATGATTTAGTTAATATTAACCATGTATAATTGGAGACTTGTGTTGTTTGTATTTTAATATAAATAAGTATAGATTTGTAATAATTCATATTCAAGCAAAAGAGTGAAAGTAATATGATTTAATTCTTATAGAGCATTGTGAGAGATAAAGAATTTATTGAAAATTCTTTTTTGTAATTTTTTTCTTTTCTTAATCGTAGAGATTCTTCTTAGTATCAACTATCTTTTATATAATTATATTTCTATGTCAAATACAATTTTATCATAAAAAACTAGTATTAGATCTATGACATGTGCGAAGTTTGACGTTGAGAAATTCACGGGCAAAAATAACTTCAATATAAGGTGGATGAAAATGCTTGCTCTCCTCGTGCAACAAGAATGTGAGTTGGCGTTCGAAAGAGAGGCAAAGTTACCAACTAGTCTTACATTTGCATAAAAGAATGCAATAATGAAAAAGGAACATAGCGAAATATTGTTATTGTTAAGTGATCAAATTTTAGGAGGTCTTAGAAGAAAAGACTACCAATAAGCTTTGGGCAAAGCTTGAAAGTTGGTATATGACAAATTTTTCGGTACTCTGCTTGAAGAAATAGTTATATACCAAGCAAATACATGAAGGTGAGTCCATTCACAAACATATTGATAATTTCAACCAAGTTATTCTTAGTTTAAAATAGTATTGATGTTGCGGTTGATGACGGGGACTAAGTCATTCTTCTCCTCAGTTCTTTTCCAAAAGCTTATGAAAATTTTATAGATATAATAATTTCAATGGAGGATGTTAATTAAAACAACCTTACAATCTTGGGAATTGAAAATAAATATTATTAATTCATATAGCAGGACCAATTCAGGTGAGGTCTGATGACAAGAGGAAGAATAAAAGAAAGGATGAAGCGTTTCCAAAGGAGACGATCAAAATCACGCAAAAAAAAAAATAAGAAGAACAATAATAGATGTCATAATTATTAGAGAGAAGGGAACTAGAAGAGAAATTGTATAGGGCTCAAGAAAGATAGAGCAAGTACTTCAAAATATAGTGGAACATTTGTGGCCTCAAAAGAATCGGATGGTGGAAATGTTCTCTTTGTCTCATCTAATGTAAATGATGATGATTGGATTCTTGATTTGACATGTACCTTTCACATGACGTCTAAAAAAGATTGGTTTGTCACATACAAAGAGATTGGCAATGGAAAAATTCTAGTGGAGAACAATAGTGCTTGTAGTATAGTTAGTAAAGGTATTACACATATTAAAATGGTTGATGGTATTGTGAGAACATTAATTGATGTGAAGTATGTGCCTAAACTCCAAACGAATTTAATTTCTTTGAGCACTTTAGACTCTCTTAGTTGTTTATATTAAGTTAAAAAAGGAGTCTTAGAGTTTCTAGAGGTACCTTGATAGTTATGAAATGAAAGATTGGTAAGTGTTGTTTATTAATCGATTTCTAAAATGAAAGTTTGTATTTAATATATAGGAGTTGATAACTTACACATTATTTGTAATGACCTGGCAGGTTCCAACACTTTACAATTCAATAACTAGCATTGAGAAACATAAAACTAGTTAACTAAGATTACCCTGCAAGCAATTCTTGTACCAACATAGGGGAGTTCTACATCTTCTACCATTCAAAGCCTCAAATGGTGTCATCCTAATACTAATATGAAAACTATTATTGTACATAAACTCCATCAATGGCAATACCTCTTCTCAACTCCCCAAACGATCCAACACATAAGTCCTCACCAAATCCTTCAAAGACTAGATAGTCCTCTTTGACTCACTATCTGTCTAAGGATGATAAGTAGAACTCAATCGCAACTTTGTCCCCAGGGCTTGGTATAGACTCCACCAAAACCTAAAAGTGAACCTTGGATTTCTATTTGAGATAATAAATATTGGATAGCATTTCATGCAATCAATGTACAACTGTGTCAACTTCTCTAAAGGCCATTTTATGTTAACAGGTAGGAAATGAACATACTTTATCAACCTATAAACAATCGCCTAGATAACATTATTGTTCCTAGCAAATCTACGAAACTCCACAATAAAATCCATAGTGATGTTATCCTAATTCCACTATAGAATCTCTATCATCTGAAGTAAGCCACCTAGCTTCTAATGCTCCACCTTGGCTTTCTAGCAAGTCAGACAAGTCCCAACAAACTCAACCACCTCCCTCTTCATACTAGACCACCAAAAAGTCTACTTTCATGGCCTTCTTCCAATATCATCCTTCTCAACTTAAAATCTTAAGCTAGGCAAATTCTACCTTTAAACCTCAAAATTCAATTCAAATCCCATAACCTTCTTAGTTCCCAACAACCCTCAATTTGTCAATAATTATGGGCCTCGTCTATGTTTGTCCTTCACATATTCCAAGAATTCATTAGTTATGATAGTTATCCTATAACTAATATGATCCATGGCTAACTCTACACGAAGATTCAAATCTTTGAATTTTTCAACCACCTCCAACTCTTTGACCATCAAAGAAGACATATGGATGGATTTCTTACTCAGCATCCACCACCACATGGGCTTTTCTAGGATGATACATCAACTAAACATCATAATCTTTAAAAAAACTCCATCCACCTCATTTGTTTCATGTTCAACTTGTTCTAATCAAACATGCATTTTAGACTTTTGTGATCACTAAAGACACTGAACTTGACCCCATACAAATAGTGTCTCCAAATCTTCATGGAAAACACCACAACTACTAGCTCCAAATCATGAGTGAGATGATTCTTCTCATCAACCTTTAGTTGTCTTGAAGCACAAGCCACCACTTTCCTATTGTGTATCAACACACATCCTGACCCTTGGTGAAAAGCATCACAATACACATCAAATGGTTCACCAGGGTCAAGAACTACTAAAATTAGTCAACTTTCTTTTCAACTCCAAAAAAAATCCTCATAGGCATCTGTCCAAATTAAAGGTTGACCATTTGTAGTCAATCGAGTCAAAGACATTAATATTTTGGAGAAGCCTTCTATGAATCTCCTATAGTAACTTGTCAACCCAACAAAACTCTTGATCTCAAAAGTTGTCTATGGACACTACCATTGCAATACCATCTCTACCTTAGTCAGATCCACAGAAATTCCCTCAACTGAAATCACATGCCCTATAAACTTCACTTCATTGGGCCAAAAGTCACACTTGCACAACTTAGCATAAAGTTGTTTCTCTCTCAACACCTCCAACACCAGTCTTAAGTGCTCCCTATGCTCCTCCAAAGATCCTAAATAGATAAGGATATCGTCAATAAACACAACCACAAATCCATCCAAGAAAGGTATAAAGATCTTGTTCATAAACTCCATGAACATAGTCAGGGCATTTGTCACACCAAAGGACATCCCAACACACTCACAATGAACATACCTAGTCCCAAAAGTAGTCTTTGATATGTCACTCTCTTTCACTCTTATTTGGTAGTATTTAGATCTCAAATCTATCTTGAAAAACACAAATGTTCCTTTTAACTGATCCATTCAAGTTATTTATCCTAGGTAATAGATATTTGTTCTTGATAGTCAACTTGTTTAATTGTCTACATTTTACATACAACCTAGATCCACACCATCCTTCTTCTTTATCAATAATACCGGAGCACCACATGGAGACATACTCGACTTAACCATCTACTTTTCCAATAGATCCTCAACTTATTTTTTTAGCTCAACCAACTCAGTTGGAGTCATTCCGTAAGGAGCTATTCACATTTTCCTTGCACCTAGAACCAATTTAATACTAAACTCCACCTCCCTATACGGGGCGACCCTTACATTTCATCAGAAAACACCTCTGGAAAGTCTCAAAAACTTTAATCATATTGATCAACTTCTTAGTCTCAATACTCAAAGCAAAAAACAACATGGAATATTGAGCTCCCTCTTTAAGAAGATCATCCACCTACTTAGCATTTAACAACCCATCATTCTCAACCTTCAGGAAAATTAATTGTCTCCTAGCACAATCTATAAGAATATGATTGACAGATAAATAAGCCATACCTAAGATCATGTCTGTCTCCATCATAGGAAAACAAGTCAAGTTTACCCTAGAACTCCTACCATACACCTCTAGTGGATATCTTAAGCATATATCATAAGTAACCACAGAAATAAAAGTAAGAGAAGATATAGTCCATATGTAAAGAATTCACGACCAATCCTAGCCTCTTTACATAATTAACAGATATATATATATATATATATATATATATATATATATATA